TCTCTCTCTCTCTCTCTCTCTCTCTCTCTCTCTCTCTCTCTCTCTCACTGGGCATTTTAAAACCTATTTCATCAGGAGAGCTCAGTTTCCATGTTGTTGCTGTAACCTGATTGCATACTAATTCCAAGTTCATGTCTGTTATTCCTTGAAAACGCCTTCCTTCAGGGTGAGCTTTAGCATGTTCCCTGTCTTCTCTCTCCCTGGGCATGCCTCTTTTCTGCTCACTCCTTCTGGTAGGAAATTATTAGGCAATTTTATGTTACCCATGTCCAGTTGAACATTTTCTTTTTAGACAAGGGACGAACAGTCCTAGTTACTGAAAGTCAGCCAGTACCTGAAGCAGTGCTATGACTGGAGGCTTTGGCTTTGTAGTGATCCCAGTCAAACCTCAGGACCCGTACTTTCAATGTCTTCCTTAATCCTGAGATGATTTTTGTGACTCAATCATTCAACTATAGAACGGCAGATGACCAAAGGTGCTGTTCACCATGGAAGGTGGCTCAAGGTGTTTGTCCTCCAGGTACCAAACAAAAGTAGATAGAGTGGTCTCTATCCCTTGCCGTGGGCTTTCTTCCATGACAGTGTGATCCACAGAATAGTTCCTGCAGCCACTGACATGTTACACTTTCCCGACTAGGCACTTCTCCATGGCCATAACACGTCTTTCTGTTGGATTCCTATGTACACCACCAGAGTCAGCACCTCATGTGTTCCCTGCCATCTGTCACAGCAGATGTGGAGACGGTAACACTTCGGCTTAGGAGGGCATCCAACACCCTTGTGGGGTCTTTAAAATTCACAGCTAACAGCCGGAGTCTGTGCTTACATGAAATCCCTCTTGAAGTCAAGATTTAGCAGTTGGTTTCCATAGTAACTTTCCTCATCAAGTCTGAACTCCTTGCAGTATCTATGGCCAAACTGGTTTGAGGAGGAATAAAGAGGAGGGAGATTTGGTGGATTCCAGAAATGAGGATCTGTTGAGAGGCAGATTTTGGATATCCCCAAACTCTAACCTGGTATGTTTGAAAATTCCTGGTTCTCTGACTTAGGGTGGCATATGCCATTATATGGGGGAAAGCTTTATCTGTTGTCAGCAGTGTGTCTCCACACGGTAAGGGGTGATGGAAGCCTCATGTGGAGATAATGACCATAAAGGAGATTTGAGAAGGTAAATGCGCTGTACAAATGGTAGGTCTTTACATCATTAGGAAAATAGGCCTCTGCTTGAACTCAGAGTGGTTACTGAATTTATTTTTACATGTTTTGTGGTAACCATATAGCAAATGTAGAAGATGCTCTTTTACTGTTAATCCTTAATTCTAGACAAGGTGCCCGACTGAAACTATTCTTGTTTTGTGTTTTCATTATTCTGTTTTTGTTTTTGTTTTTGAGTCAGGGTCTCGTGTTGTTTGGGATGGCCTAAAATCACCACATAACCAGGGATGACCTTAAGCTTTTGATCCTTGTGTTTCCCCCTCACCAGTGCTAGGATTACAGGTGTTCTCTACCGTAATACCTGGGGCTCGGGGGCGAATGCAAGGTCTAATGCAGGCAGAGCAGGTACTCGACCAACTGAGCTGCAGCCCAAGGGCCAATTGAGACCATTCTGAGAATCAGAAGGATGCACTTGCCACTCTTTTATGGTTACATTCTGCTTCTTAGTATCCTATTCTTGTCTAATTGGTAATGAGGACATCAGGGATGTACATTTTCCAAAAGAAAAGACACATCTGAATATTTAACCCATTAATTGGCTTAGATATCTTGGTATTAGGGAGTTTGCTATTGATAAACAGAGTGAATCCTCTATCTATCTATCTATCTATCTATCTATCTATCTATCTATCTATCTATCTGTCTGTCTGTCTGTCTAGTTATTTATCTTGTGTATGTGTGATTTATCCTATGAGTGCACATGTAGCAGGTGTGTCTATGGAGTGGAGTCTAGAGATTCACTTTAGCTATCTTCTTCTATTACTGTCTATACATGTTTTAAAAATTGACACAGGGTCCCTTACTGAATCTAGAATTCACCCTGTCTGGGGTGTTGACTGAGTTCTCTAATTCCACTTGTCCCTACCTCAATAGCTTAGCTTGGAAGAATACATTGCAATGCCTGGCTTTTAAGTGGATGCTGGGGATTCAAATTCAGGTCCTTATACTTGAACAATAAACACACTTTACCGCTGAGCTATATCCTCATGTTAAACATTCTAATTATTTATTTAATTTTTGAACCATAGTTTGATATTTAATGTTGATTGTTAACTTTACATGGAAGAGACAAGCCTTTGAGAGTATCTGTGGGGGTTGTTTAGACTAGGATAACTGAAGCGAGAAGGCCTGTTATTTATATAATGGGTACCATACCATGGGCTAGAGTCCTGGGCTACATAAAAAGGATAAATCCAATTAAATACCAATTAAGAAGCAAAGTACTGCCCTTTGCTTCTTGGTTGTGCATGCAACTTTCCTTCCACTTTGATGGACTGTATGGATGAGCCAAAATAACCCGTAAGTTACCCTTGTCCACTGTTTGTCGTAACATAAGACAAGTAATTACTGCCTATGGCATCTATGCAAAGCCTACTTGTTTGAGGGGATCAACCTTATCCTTGCCCTGTATACTTCACAGTTTTAGATTTAAGCTTTTTTGGAATTCTTGAGGCATACATCCCTGTTCTCCTTTTACTTAACACTGTACCTGCTTTCTATCTTTTCTTTTATTAATAACCACCATCGGTATGTTTTATCACCAGCCACCTAATTTCAAGCTGAATTTCTGATGTTTCACTTTAAGCTTCCTGGCCATTTGTAGCCATAGCCCAGTACCAGTGAAAGTAATAAATTTGGACCTAAAGTCGGTCAGTAGGTTTCAGTATAGCCTGTGATACCAAAGTCAGAACTTGTTATACATGAGTCAATGTACTAATCTCTAATACACTTTAGATTTGTTTGAGAAGTCACCCATTTTCACTACACCTACCAGTACACCGAGCTGATTGTGTTTGGGATGGGGGATAAGCAACTGGTAGTTGGTTTAGAGGCCCTAAGAGGCAATAGATTCTAGGAAGATCTTAAAATGCATGAGCTAAAATATTTTTAATTTTTTTTATTTATTAGAGTTTATTCACTTTGTATCCCAGCTGTAGCACTGTCTTTAATCCCCTCCCAATCTCACCTTCCCTCCCTCTTCTCCTCCTATGCCCCTCCCCCAGTCCACTGATAGGGGAGGTCCTCCTTGCCTTCCCTAGTCTATCAGGTCTCATCAGGACTGTCTTACATAGTCTTCCTCTGTGGCCTGGTAGGGCTACCCTCCCTTCAGGGAGAGGTGATCAAAGAGCCAGCCACTGAGTTCATGTCAGAGACAGTTCCTGTTCCCATTACTAGAGAACCCACTTGAAGACTGAGCTTCCATGGGCTACATCTGTGCAGGGGTTCTAGGTTATTGCCATGTATGGTCCTTGGTTGAGTATCAGTCTCAGAAAAGAGCCCAGATTTTTTTATTCTGTTGCTCTCCTTGTGGAGCTCCAATCCCCTCCAGGTCTTTCTATCTCCCCCTTCTTTCATAAGATTCCCTGCACTTTGCCCAAATCTTAAAGAAAAATTGCCCTGCTCACACAGTTCAGACTCTCCTAACTATCAGATACATTCTCTTCAATTTTTTTTTATTAAGTTTTATCTTCATAAGGAGGAAACAGCATTTAAAGCTGTTATTCTATTTATATCTATCTTAAGTTTCTTTTCCTTGGAAGATAAATAGACTGTATGCACATTGTCTCCTCAGGATCTGGCACCTTTGTAAATTTGTTATTTACAAATTTCAAGAAGTCACACTTTGTGATTTCACTGGTTATAAATTAAATAGTCAGCCATTGGAAGAGGAAAAGCAAATGCTTTAGTGTAACATGTCACGTGGCTCAGAGACAAGTAGCAAAAATGACAGCGATCACATCAGGAAGCAACAGCTTCTGTCTTCAGGACTGGTACTCAAGAGAGCAATGGGTGCTAATCCTTTGGAAGGGCTCAAGTTTGCTTCTTAACTGGATAAATGCCATGCAACCCTGCCTTCGAAAGGCTGATGCCCTCAACTAGGTAATCTTGTATGAAATTCTAGGGTTTTTTTTGGACCTCTCAGTATGTAAAACAAAACAAAACAAACAAACAAAAAAAACTCCCATGAAACTAATGATAAGGAAGTGAAGGAAGATTCTGAACAATGCAGGATGCACAATGTTCAATGATACATGTTTACTAGGTTCAAAAGGTAATTAGATGTTTTCATTGGAAACCCTAGAGTTCCTACAAAAACAGAAAAGGAGATTGCAACCTTCTTAAAATACCATGGCTGTTTTGTGGGCTAAGGGCATGGCATGATGATAGTGTCTCAAGTCACATAGTCATAGGTTCAAGTGTTAACTGTGTCATTTTCAAGAAGCTGACAAGTCTCATAACCTGTCCAAGCCTCGTCTTCCCCCGTCAGCATATAATACAGTAACAATACCTAGGTTTCAGATTCTTAGAAATACTTCAAATAGTTCACATGTGCAGAATTTAAACAGTTACCATCACTTGCTAATGCCATGTAGTACCCGGCAATTGAGAAAATGATCATAAATTATCCCCTTCCTCGAAGGTTCAGTGGTCTGTGTGATTACAGAGCATACACAGTAGGTGGGCTGCAGATGTTTGGGTCCCTCACTGTACAGAATCATCATGTATTGGAAAATGGGGAGATTCATTCATGAGGACAGTGGAAAGGGGAATGTGTGGCCCAGTGGGGTATGTGTTTCATTTATGCCATTGATGAACTCAGGTTTAATCTGATCATTTCACACTGACTTTCTCAAATACTGACAGGGTAGTTGATTTACTTCTGTTTCTCTTTTCCTGCTACCCTGGCCCCAAGGGGAATGTCTGTGCTACGAAGGCTACATGAAGGATCCTGTCCACAAGCACCTTTGCATTCGGAATGAATGGGGGACAAACCAGGGGTAAGTGAGATAACAAGCTGGCGGTTTCTCACGTCACTGCTTTCTCACACAGACACAATGGCAACAACTGTACACAATGAAGCAGAGGTAAAGGGTGGTTGTATTCTGAACAAATGTGTCACTGCCTTTCCATAGTCATGCTGTACCAATGACGCCCATGCCATCTTTTCCTCCATTTACGAGTCAGGAGATGGTGCCTCTGACTCGTGGCCCTGCATCCTCCAGCTGGGATCTGAAAATGAAGCGGCCTTTTTCTTCTTTCCCACTCCACCTCCATCCATGAGAATCCCTAAGGCAGAACCTAGCTGGTGTGTTTGTTGGAGACACATGAAGCCACACAAACTCTTCCGTAGCTCTCAGAGCTTGATGAGTCCTGCGAGAGACTGAGAGGAGTCAAAACGGGTTACCAGCAGCACTGCCAGCAGGGGTGACATGCAAGACTCAGGAAGTGCTCTGTGCTGAGAAAGAGCGCTGGGCCACATCACCAGTTACCATTTCTTTGTATGATTTTTACTTTCCCACAACTACATGTGTCTGTAAAAAAGCAGCTGCTTTATCTATTCTTTTTTCCTTTTTTACATTTTTAGATGTTTTGTTGTAATAAAACATGCACGGCATAAATTTAACATGTTAATAGTTTTTTAAGTGTATGATTCAATGAAATTAAGTAAATCTATGTCACTAGAGGGTCATCACCATATATGTCTTGTGTTGTGATGATTTTTAAAATCAATTAATGTGTCTTGTTTTGAATTCTGAGAGCTTGATTTCTGCATTGGGCAAATGGTGGGGGGGGGGTTCAGTAAATGCTAACTAATAGTAAAAATCAGTGGGATAGGGAAAATCAGAAGAAGATCTAGGCAAAAGCTTGTTGATGAGAGATTTTCTGGACTGCAAATTTGATCTGTGTTTGCATCCTGACAAAGTGAAGAAAAAAAAAAAAGACAATGTCATTTCTGACATTGCCATAGATACTCTCACTCCTGGGTCAATAAGCAGTCCCTTTTACATGATTCTGATGAGACCAAACCTAGAATATTGAGTGCAGTTCTGGACTCTCAAAGCAATAAATATGGTGACAAATGGAGGAGAGTTTGGAGAAGAGCAATAAAAATGATTGAGAAGCCCGAGGGCGTGATTTATGATTAGGGGAGAGAAGAACTCAACCCTGATGACTTAGCCAGCGGAGGACTAGTCAGCTTTTGATAGATGCCCAAAGATGTGGAAGAGGGCAAATGTTCCTGGGTCTGGTTGACATGAAGGGATAAGGACAAGAGCAAATGGAGTTAGGAAAAGGGAATCTGGGTCACAGGTCAGAAAATTTAGGGAAGTCCAAATGCTGTGACATTTTTGTGTGTGTGTGTGTTAGTGATAATGAAGAACGACTCGGTTTGTATGGAATTTGAGCTTTCCTCAGATAGGCAGTCCACAAATTAAAAAAAAAAGGGGGGGGGTTGGAGAGAAGAGCAGAGGAGTGACTAATGTATGCCAAGTGAGGTATAAATGTAGAATGACATTCACTGGTTAAATTTTGCACTGTTGCCTGACTCTCATTGCCACTGAGTTGTTTGCACAGCTGCTTCGGAGCCAGCCCTGTGGCTTATGTGATGGCTGAGGTTCGTAGCTGACCACGAGTAAAATGTTGTAAAAGGTGATGGATAACCACCTCTCTATCTCATAGCCTGCAATCTTGCCGCTGAAGAAAACAACTACAAAATATCATTTCACGTTTGCTCTAAATGATCCAGTCTGGCCCTCTGCTGTGATTGGATTTGGTGGTTAATCGCTCAAGCCTCCACATCCCTAGCCTTGTAGACATATCTTGTGAGGATGGGCCTGACTTCACTTGGTAATTGCAAAGCCTTTGTTATCCCCTATGGCGGGATGTAGAGACAGTCATAGGATGCAGACAAGAGCCTCGGGGGAAATGGGAGAGGTCCCAGCACTGGTGTCATTTGGAACAAGATAGACTAAAGCACTGAGCTGCAGACTGACGAGAACATTAGCCCCAGGAAATAGACAAAGACACCTAATCTGTCATTTCCATCTCTAATTTCCATTATTCTATGATCGTCACTGTCTATGAGGTCTCATTGTGGACACTAATAAAATCATAAAACAACTATTAGGAGGAGGGAGACGAGTGAGTATATTGTGGATATTGGAGCAGGAATGATAAGCAGCTTGACTTTATATTTATAAAACAATGCCAGACAAATGGATGTGTTTTTTCTTCCTGAAAAAAAAAAAAAAGATAAGTGAAAAGTAGAAGATGCAGTGCATCATGATTTAAATCAGGGTACCACACTAATGCCGTGTTTCCTTAGATGATTTCCCCCAAATTAATCGAAATTGGTTTGAGTGTAAAGACTGTCATTTGAATTGGAAACTGTCTGACAGATTTCTAAATGATGATATATATTGGAGTGTTAAGGAGAAATCAATGGTAAGTCTGATTTTCCTAGAATTTTCATTTAACATTCTAGAAGGTGAAGGTGAGCATCCCAACATAAGAGGTACTTACGTTTCCCTCTTAACAGACTGATGCGACATACGTTAAGACTGCAGCAGGTTCATTCTCGGCAGAAAAGCCAAAGGCAGGTCTAGTAATAGTTGAAGTCATTTGTGAAAAAATCAAGGTTGATATGCCAGGGAAAACTGGTTTTAAAAAAAAAAAGGCATCTGTGATTTTCAGACAAGGAAGAAAATTAATCAAGGACTTTCATACAAAACGTTACAAATGGATGCTTCTGTGAGTCAGAGGAGTTAGATCTGAGACCTGCCACTGCTGCCTGCCTCTAGCTCATATAGTTCTGGGTGAGTGTGTCTGTGTGAGTGCGTGAGTGTGTGGAATGTGTGTAAGAGCATGTAAACATGTAGTGTCTGTGTGATTGTACGGAGTGTATGTGTGTATGAATGAGCCAGTTTGTTTATGGAATGGCTCTCACAACTGTTCTATCATTCACTCTTCAATTCACTCATGTTTTCATAAGTGTTCACCCCTTTACTCTTCGAGTGAAGAACATGTGTGGTTGCTATGCCTAAAAACAAAGTGGGGTTTCTGTTCTGGGATAAGATAACTAATAGTCCACATAGGAAGATGGACATATGATGAAAAATTACATACAGTTCTAAGACCCACTGAAAAATTATTTTGAGCAAAGGTCAATGAGAAAATAATTAAGCGGTGACTTAGATAAGATTGAAGAAATGGTATAGAGTTTCATGGAGAAGCCAGATTTTTGAATTGTTCCATTTGATAGGCAGAGACATGAGGGGCATGTATTTCCAGGAATAGCAGATCAGTAGCTCAGTTTAGCTTAAAAGTCTCTTGCACATGGCCATGAGAAAAAGTGAAAAAGGAGAAAAGCTAGCTCTCAAAAAGGTCTCGCTTAACGACGCTTTGAACACTAAAACCCAATTACAGGCCTCTAGAATTATTGATAGAGGGTAGGTCCTCAAATGAGTTTGTGTATCCTCTTCCTACCCAGTAAGTTGTTCCTTTAAAATGAAATCAAACAATTGTTAACACGCACACACGCACACAACCAAAAATAAAGAAAACAAAACCTCAAGCTCAAAACCTATTGCGATTTTCTAGATTTTATTTATTTAGATTCTTCAAGTAAAATGTATTTCTGAAATTGCCCTGTAGACAAATATGAGAGAATGGCTGAGAATTAGAAAGCATACCTCAAAAGTCTACTAAAGACTTATATTACAGTAATTCTGGTAATTTGGTCCTGCCAGGGATGCTCAGGAGAAAGCAAGCAGGTTGAGACATTCATGTGTTGATTTGCATGGTAAAGCCAGCTGCTCCAACTTGCAGAACTGAAGGGGTCCAGGTGGAAGAGAGTAAAATAGTAGTATTCTTTGCAATAGAAGAACATTTTCACTAAAAGTAAAACTGACTTTAGGGCTACATAGTATTAGTTGTGCATGATAGATTTCTAATGGGTCACGCTAAGAACACGGGGTGTTTGAAGATGCATCTCTGATATTTGATGCTGGCAACAAAATCAAGCATTCCCTGTCATAACACTCCATATCATCCAACTGCCAGGGAACGAAACCAGGGCTGAAGTGCCCAAACCAGTGCCATGATTTCTGTGTCTTCTGTCTTTCCTGTGTCAATTTTCAAGCCAATTTCTTGCCCTCCTATCACTGTGGCTGCACAATATAGTTAAAGCCTGTAAGTGGCTGCATTTGATATTTGTTTTCTAGGACAAATTGAAAATGTTCAGAGATGAGAAACGAAAACAATAAATTGGGGAGGGAAATCAGGAAAGATTGATTTACATGAGAATATCAGAGAAGAAAAGAGACACCCAAATTTATTTAGATACTTCAGAGTTATTAAGAAAGGCCATAATAATGGCTTTTTTGCTAAATTAAAAGTGTACTCAAGGGCCTCTAGATACATCTTTCAGAATACCACAATTAGATTAAATTCATGCTTTTGGAGGTTCCTGGTAAATAATAGTCTGATTACTTATTCTGGCATCTCAGCTGCAGAGGGCAACACCAAGGAGATTCTCCAATATAGAAATATAAAATATCACTGGGTTTCCATGCTGAAGGATAAAGACAGAGTGATAACTCATGAGGTGGGGAGAGGCCAGCTGAGGGAAATGAGTAGGTGTTCTTCCAAGGATTTAAAAGCTGCTGTCATGGATGACCCTGCTCACGGAACCCCTCCTCTTCTCTTGGCTGCACAGGGAGATGACAGCCCTTCACAGGACATCCTCAGACACCTACTCACTTATACGTGGTCAATGCTGTTTTAGGATGGCCCTGTCATTGTCCAAGGTGCTTGCAGGTCTTCTGTTTCTGCAACCTCTCCATTCTTATTTACTCAGTGGTTTCTGCTTAGGCAGGGAATGCACCCTGGTAAGGATTAATGTCCCCATATAAACCCACAGAATCCAGTGTGTGTGTGTGTGTGTGTGTGTGTGTGTGTGTGTGTGTGTGTGTGTCTGTGTGTGTGTGTGTGTGTCTGT